GTGTGTGCCTGTAGACTATGTGCTAATCCAAGCTAGACAAGGGCAACAAAACATCCACGGATGCAGAAGATTTTTCTCAAAACAGAGGGGGTGAGGTTCTAAGCCTCACCTCTGTTGATCCCCAATTTCTCACCTGATGGCCCCCCTGCAGCTGTGCCTGTCTTAGGTTGTTCCTCCCTTGAGGAATCTTACCCGTCTCTGGCTAACCAGTCATCTTCCGGGGCCATACAGGGAAATGTAAAGTTGGTGAGAGAGAAGCCATATTGTTTGAAAAGCTTAGCTTTTTACGTCTTTGCAGATTTGTGCCCTGTGGCTTCTATGCCCAGCATTTGTCTTGAGGTATCTTTACCACTTGGAGGAATTATGATACTCCGTGAATTCGATATGAGGCACGAATTCTATTTAAGGGTTGTAATTAGGAAGGAACATTTAGGATTCTTATGTCCTCTTGATAAATTGGTGTCCTTGTCCTTATGAAATAATTCTTTTATCCCTAGTAATGTTCTTTGTTCTGAAATCTACTCTTTCTGATGTCACCTCAGCTTTCTTGTATTTACTGTTACCCTGGCAGATTTGTTGCCAACCTTTTAATTTCACCTACTTGTGTCTTTATATTTAAAGTTTGTTTCTTATGGGCAGAATCTAGTTGAATTTTTTAAATCCAAAATCATAATCTCTCCCTTTTAATTAGAGTGTGAAGACTATCTGCATTTAATGAGATTATTGATATAGTTGAGTTAAAAACTGCCATTTGCTCTTTGTTTTCTCCTGGGCCCACCTGTTATTTCCCTTTTCTTTTGCCTCCTTTTGGGTTGCATAGTTTTTAGAATTCTATCTTATCTCCTTCATTGTCTTATTAGCTAGAACTCTTTTGATATTTCAGTAGTTGTTTCATGGTTTACAGTATATACCTGTGACTGATCACAATCTACCTTCACGTGGTATTTAACACTTCACATACACTGTGAGAACCTTAGGCAATATAGGTTGATCCCCCCAAGACTTTATATTTCTGTTACATGTTTGAGCCAGAACACTGTAATTTGTTACATTTTCGTTATGTACATCTACATACAGTATTAAACCCCATAACAACACCAGTGTTTTGGTTTATTCTTTCTTCAATTATCTTTTCAATAAATGTAAACAATCAATGTCTTATCTATTTAACTATATAATGGTGTTTTCCAGGCTCCTCACTCCTTCATGTGGATCCATATTACCAACTGCTGTCCCTTTCCTTCCACCTGTAAGACTTCCATTCACACTTCCTGTACTGTGAGTTGGCTGGTGATTGATTCTTTAAGCTTTTGCATGCCTGTAAAGGTCTTTATTTTGCCTTCAGTTTTTATTTATTTATTTTTAAATAAAGTATCACTGATATACAATCTTATGAACATTTCACATGAATATTGTGATTTCAACATTCACCCATATTATCAAGTCCTCTCCCCACCCCATTGCAGTCACTGTCCATCAGCGTAGTAAGATGCCCCAGAGTCACTACGTGTCTTCTCTGTGCTGTACTGCTTTCCCTGTGACCTATCTATATTGTGATTGCAAATACAGTGTTCCTCAATCCCCCTCTCCCTCCCTTCCACCCACTCCCCTTTGGCAATCGCTAGTCCCTTCTCTGTGAGTCTGCTGTTGTTTTGTTCCTTCAGTTTTGCTTCATTTTTATGCTCCACACATGAGGGAAATCATTTAGTACTTGTCTTTCTCCACCTGGCTTATTTCACTGAGCATAATACCCTCTAGCTCCATCCATGTTGTTGCAAATGGTAGGATTTGTTTTCTTCTTATGGCTGAATAATATCCCATTGTGTATATGTACCACCTCTTCTTTATCCATTCAGCTACTGATGGACACTTAGGTTGCTTCCATTTCTTGGCTGTTGTAAACAGTGCTGTGATAAACATAGGGGTGCGTGTGTCTTTTTCAAACTGGGCTGCTGCATTCTTAGGGTAAATTCCTAAAAGTGGAGTTCTAGGGTCAAATGGTATTTCTGTTTTGAGCTTTTTGAGGAACCTCCATACTGCTTTCCATAGTGGTTGAACTAATTTACATTCCCACCAGCAGTGCAGGAGGGTTCCCCTTTCTCCACAACCTC